AAAGCTGGGAGGCTGAAATTTTAAAGGGATGTTCTCAGCCTGCATACAACTTAAAAATTCTAAACCTAGCCCGCAGGTATGCGCCTAGGTCATGTGCGGCCCTGCGAAAGTTTTGACAGGAAAATTGTCAACCCGAGAATCAGAAAAGGTCGGAGGCTCAGATTTTAGGAGAATATTCCTCGTCCAAATAAAACTTACATCTTTAAATTTAGTCTTCATTTATGCGTGATTCTAGTGTACGGCCAATTAAATTACTGGCGGGAAAATTACTCATTGAACAGTTGGGTTACTTTCAAAAAACACCGCTAGACGGAAATAATTTATTTCTTTTTATGCAAAATTTACGATGATTTTCGGCATTAAGCAAACAAGGTAGGTTGAAGAAACAACCGTTCATGCAGTTAGCCTAATTCAAATTTTGTGCAAAAACACATGATCGCACCGGCTCGCCTGGTGCGTTCCAGCCTGAGTTTTAAAGGATGTGGCGCAACTCGGCCGCCGCTTTGTTAGGCGTTGCCATTTAAATGGTTATCAAAAGTCGGCTACTGCAGGACCTTGGCGATCGTTCATTTCGAGATTATTACATCCGACGGCTCCTAGCTCCGCTCCCTGCCTGGCAATAAGAAGAAAATGCTGACGCCGATTTTAACTTTTTTCTTAGCCGGTAACCCTATGCACCTGGAAGTTAACACGAATTGCAGCAACTTTTATTTATAATGACAATAGCATAATCAATACAATGGACAGCGCATGACAGTAAGCCAAGACCACACGTGGATAACGTCACCGATGCTCTAGCCGAGCAGGATGATCGGGAAAAAACAGATGTTTAAAAAGCCCAAATAGAAGTTAGCAAGAAAAGCGGATCCTTAAAAATTCCACTTTTATACCAGCCAGTTTTACTCTAAAGTTAGCAGTAACTCCGTCCTGCACTGTCTACAAGTACGCAGCGCATTTCGACCCTGCTTTAAAGTTTGGAACATTCTCTAGATTCGCTCGCAACTGCACTCTACAAAACAATCCAAGACTGATTGGCCCAAATTAGTTCATCAGCAGGTAAAGATCGAATTTCTCGATAACAATAGAATGGGGCAAAACACTTTTTGAGATGGTGCTCTTTTAATACACGCCGACACTCTTCCACTTCTCGTAGTACCTGCAGTTTGTGACTGCTAAAAATTAGATCATCAAACTTCTGCTTATCAATATGTCACTTTTTTAAAATTTTTTAGTTTTTCCTTTTTTTTTTTGTTACTTCCCATAGTAGCTAAGCACCTTCCACTGCGAGTTTGAAGGGATCGAAGCTCTTGTATTCGACATCATTGGATCCTCCAAGTCATGATATATTTTCTGTGTTCTCACATCCCACAGCTAAAGATTTTATATCTATATAACTGGCAACTTTACAGGAATTTTCCTACGTGTCTAGCGCCACCATCCCAAGCATTAGGCAAGTTTCCCAATAAAAATAGTTTCTCAAAAACTATATCTTTAAAAGAAAATTCTCGGTATGCCGCTACGTGCTTAAGCAAAAAATTCGTAAGTTATACCTGCTGTCCTCGATTTTGCCATCTTTGGGTTTCCAACATATCACCGCCTGGAAGATGTAAAAACGCTTGCAGGCGTTTTCTCCACGATTTGTTACATGGCTCGATAAATCTTTCAAATATCGAAGCACGAAACGCATTGCGTTGTGACCAGGATGGGTCATCCGATCGAATCCTCCTGAAAAAAAAAGGTTCTTAAAATCTGAAACCAAGCTCAAATTCCCAAATGATTTAGCAAAAACGTGAAATAACATTGCGTACTTCGATCGAACGCGTGCGTGATGAGTGCTGCTTGGGGGTTTGAAATACATGATCGAAGGATCTGGCATGGCTACTCACGGCGTGCAGGAGCATCTTACGAATATCACTAACGTCAGATGACCATACCAACTGTCAGGAGAGTATTCACAAAATGAATGGCACTTTACGGATAGAGTGATGGAACAAAGAAAATTTAAAACATCCTGCAGAAAAACAAATGCGCTGAAAGGATTTCGTCATAATCAAAAGTCCAATGTCGCTTGCTTTGCT